AGGCTGGTGCTGCCTTTGTGCCCCTGGATCCTGACCAACCGATATCACGTCTCAGAGCAATTATGAGCGAAATCAAGGCGAAAGTCGCGATCGTATCTGCCTTCCACTCTAAAGCCACCGACCTTGGCATTGCGACTATGGCGGTTGCGGATAGGAGTTCCTTAGGATTACTTTTGCAATCCAACACCACAGGATTCGCCGGATTAAGCAATCCCGAGAATCCAGCATACGTCATCTTCACCTCTGGATCTACTGGAACTCCCAAGGGTGTTGTCATCTCGCACTCTGCTTTTGCTTCTGGGGCAACGGCTCATGGAAAGGCCCTCGGTATTTCCAGTGACCATCGCGTCCTACAGTTTTCTTCTTACACCTTCGATGCCAGCCTCTTCGAAATTCTTACTACGCTCATACACGGCGGCACTGTTTGCGTCCCAACAGAAAAGCAGCGTGTCGAAGGAATACTGGATTTCGTAAAGGAGATGGACGTTAGTTTTTCACTCCTCACGCCATCTGTGGCTCGATTACTAGCACCATCCAGCTTACCGTCCCTGAAAACCCTGATTCTTGGAGGCGAAGCCCCCGATGAACCCCTCATTTCCAGGTGGCTAGATTCAGGGGCCAAGGTTTTCAACGCGTACGGACCCAGCGAATGTTCTGTCATTGCAACAGTTCAAGCCTGCGCCATTGGGGCAGAAGCCAGGGCTATAGGGTACCCTGTAGGGTGCTCTTGCTGGGTAGTTGATGCAGACGACGTCAACACTTTGGTGGCTGATGGCGAAGTGGGCGAGCTCCTAATTGAGGGCCCAAATTTGGCCAATGGATATCTCGACGATCTACAAACATCCGCGTCGTTCATCGATAGCTCCATCTGGGGGAAGGAGACTCGCTTGTACAAGACTGGAGATCTGGTCCAAAGAACCAAGGATGGATCCTTCATCTACCATGGTCGCAAGGACTTTCAAATCAAAATCAATGGACAGAGGGTGGAGCTTGGAGATATCGAGTCCCACTTGTCTGCCTGTCGATTTGTCAAGCGTGGCGTAGTCATCTTCCCGTCCTCCGGCCCACTCGCAAAACAGCTTGTTGGCGTACTGGACATGGAGGAGGACGAGAAGGACGACGATAACGATGACGACAGAGACGACGACAAGAGAAACACAGACAGTGTGGTCTACAGGAATCGTATTCGCTACCGTGCCAAGGCGTTAGAAGACATCAAGCAAGAGCTATCTGATAGGGTCCCCAGCATCATGGTCCCAAGGCATTGGGTTGACGTCGAGAAGCTGTCCACCGGAGGCTTTCCGCTTTCCATCGCTGGAAAGGCAAATAGAAAGCTAATCCTGAGTTGGATCGAGGAAATGTCTGCGCCCGATGCCCAAGCTACTGACGGCCATGCTTTAGCTGGTTGTGCAACTCCTGACATCAAATCGGACGAGGTACTCGCGTATGAACTGGCGAGCAAGATCTTCTCCCTACTTCCCAGGGAATCATTCCATCTTCAGCGCGGCACTCCGAATCGGTTTGCAGACTTGTTACTGCATTCATCAGGACTAGACTCTCTCAACATGATGTCAATCATGCACTTCGTTCGTTCAAAGTACCAAGTGCGGGTGAGCATTCAACTTTTGATGGATGAAAGGACAAGCGTTCGAAGCCTGGCTGCGTTCATTGCCGAAAGGCTTGCAGAAACAACAAACAAAAAGCTTCCGCCGGCACAAGCTCCGTCGCGTAGGATCGATATCATGGCTCTGATCGAGCGGCAAGAAACCGAGCTCTTGAGATGGCAACACATGCCAGATGATCTTCCCAAGAGACCTACCAGAAGCGCAAAGTTGACGATATTCCTGACTGGTGCCAACGGGTATCTGGGTACACAGATCCTGCGTCGGCTGTTGGAACGGGACGACGTAGCGAGAGTGATTACCCTTGTGCGTGGGCACACCGTCGATATAGCCAGGAAAAGGGTCATTGAAGCTGCGCGGAAAGCTCTTTGGTGGACAGACTTCCACGGAGAAAAGTTGGAAGTGTGGAAGGGCAACCTGGGGGTGCCAAACCTCGGGCTTACGGATGGAGAGTGGAACACATTGGCCGACGGAAGTTCCATCGATATCATTATTCACAACGGCGCCATTGTGAACTGGAACAAAAGCTATGCGGCTCTCGAGGCTGTCAATGTTCTATCAACCGTTCAGCTCACTGCTCTCGCAATTCGGAACCCGAACCTGAAGTTTACGTACGTATCAGGTGGGAGGCAGTGCCGTTCCGCAGATGAGTCGGATGAGGACGTTGCTCGAGAGCTGTCCGAAGCGATGGGCTACAGCCAGTCTAAGTTCGTGGCGGAAGTCCTGGTGAAACGTGCCGCAGAGCGTTGTTCGCCCGGTGAAAGAAACATTGCCGTATTCAGGCCGGGTCTAATAATTGGAACGCCAACAGAAGGAGTGGCCAATACGGACGACTACATCTGGCGTTTGACGGCGGCAAGCATATACCTTGGCGCGTACAATTGTGACGACGACTCCGCCTGGCTACACTTGTCTGACGCTACGACGACAGCTGAAGCAGCGATTTGTACTGCGTTTTCACCAGCCTCGCTTCACAAGGCGGTTGTTCATCATGAAGATGGAATTACGTGGGGAGCCTTCTGGAGTCTGATCCAGAACATGGGCTTCAGCATCCGTTCGATGCCAGCGTCTCAATGGCTACCACTTCTCAGAAGAGACATCGAATCCAGGAATGAGGGTCATCCTCTGTGGCCACTAGCGCACCTGATGGAGGATGGGTCAATGGAATGGGATGTGCGTGTTCAAGAGCAACGAGAGGCTCCGTTGAGACTGAAGGTTGCAGTCAAAAGAAACGTGGAATTTCTTGTCCGGGCTGGGTTTCTATCAAACGGTGGTATCGTTGCTGAAATGACGCATGTCAAACGTGCACCGTTTTCTCGTGCTTCATCGAGAGAGGAATGGGGTATAGCAAAGTGACGCCGATAGAAATTCCGCATCTCCCAGAAAATTGATCGTGTTCATAGCTTGTACCTGTTTCAATTTTACTCTCATATTATGCATCGTCCACGAGTTATTTGTCCATCGGATAGCAAAGCTCATGCCTGACGCCTCATCAAACGTCCCCCGAGCCCTTGGAATGTTCTGATACATTCGTGCCTTGGCTTGTCCCCACGACGCAATGGCCGTTATACAGTTCCGTCATTAGACGTGTATGAAAAGTCTCGTATGGTTTGTAGGGCAATTTGGTATGGCGTATTTCAATGCTAGTCAGGTGAGAAGGCCCGGGCTTGTCCCAAGGTTTCACAAACCTGTCGACGACAGCATCATTGACAAACGCCGTATACACATCCATGCTGGGATTCAAAGATCGTTCCGAAATGAGAACATGAACCCAATGACTTTGGTCAATAAGCAAATCTGGGTCAAAATTCATTGGCCGCCGGCAGACTGAGTTCTGACCTTGCGAAAGGTATCCTCCTCGGAAATACCTAGCTCTAACCGGGCGCAACACCCATGACTTCGGCTTCGTTGAGCTTGCGCAATGATCAGCGCTGTGATGTACGGATTAGGGCTCAATCTGGAGGCTGAAAATTCGACGACCCCATCTTTTGCGACTGTAGAAGCAATGACGCTGAAGGGCCGATAAGTCTATGTGCACAACAGAGAAGACTAGTCCATTCAGAGGTGAAGGAGGGCTGAAAAAGCCATCGCCTTTAAGGGGTTTCATTTCAGTTTCAAACCGGAGAAGCAGAACCCTGAAGATATCAGAAGAAACACATTACGACCAAGGTTGCGCACTTACATCTTTTTGAAGGAGCAGGATTTCAGGAGCTGACGCATGACTTCTCTTTTGTCGTAAAGTACGCCATACATATCTTTGCCCCACTTCCTAGGTGGACCGTCTGACAACTCTTCATTCGCAGACCAAGAGTCGAGTGCGCCATGCGACTGGAAATGCCTATGCGCAACTTCATTCCGAGGTCCAGGAGGCGGTTGGGTATTATCAGTAAAGACACGCCGGAGGAGCTGTAGCTGGCGCGCCGTCCATTTGCGCGGAGGAACCAAAAGGCGCTCCCGAGAGAAGACGCGCGCAATACGGTGAATGGAAAGACTCGAGATATCGTTAACCTCTTCTCCTCGAAGGAGCTTTCTGTTGTAAGCTTTGCGCACCTCCGCAGAGAGTGATCGGTTCGGATTGTTCATTTTAGATCTCGAAGATGAGCCGTGAATGATCGTCGGCTAGTACGAGCAAGTAAGAAGAGAGATGTGATGAGTCAACGGTGCATGGAGCTCGCTATGTTTGCCAAAAGGGCTAAGCAGCAGAATGATACAGTGTTATGTATAGGTTAGGTTTGACCTGGTTGGAAACCTTTACGACCTGGTCATCTCCTGAAAGATAGAAAGGTCCGGAGAATGCAAGTTCAAACTGGGCCCTATTCCTTGGATAGGCGATGAAGGGAAGAACTAAAGCTCCACCATTGCTGTAGGCACATGGGTGCCATGATATACTCAACGCTTTAGTTTTAAAATTGAAAAGAGACGCACATTTTGCAGTTGGTGAAGTGCCATTAAGCTAGCTCTTGTCCGCCGAGACCGATTGGAATATTTTACTCAGTGATACCAACGCGGCAATTCGAGAAAGAGCGATTCTCCACATTTTGTTCCCAGCACGTGATTACAAGCAGAAGTCCAGCTTCGTAGGTACTATTGGAGCTTGCAAGCCAGAGTGTTTTGACACCTTGCGCAGTTTGAGTTGATGCGGCCAAAGGCAGCAACCTTGATGCCAACACAGTAATAATCGGCCCACCCCACTGGACCGTATCTTTGTCTCCAAGGCGGTCTGTTAATTCTGAGATGCTGAAATAAATAGGATCTTGCTGCAAGGAAATTCAAGATGATTCGACAGCCACGGATGTGCATATCTGTCTGCATCTTCATTTCATTACTGTATTGTTTGAGAATCGGCGTGGCTATCCATGACACTGGACGCAGTTGGTGTTATTCCTTGGCTTTAGCTGCCCATTCTAGCAAACTTTGGCGACAATCGTCGCCGTTGTAATAATCCGGCCATCCATGCTGTGCATAAATTCTCTTAATTACCCAAGTTAAAAGAATCAGTAAGGTTAATGCTCAGTCTTGTGAGTGAACTGTGACTTACTTCCACCTGTTTGTAGCTCTCGGACTCTTCATCATCATATTCCTTCGGTCCGAACACTCCTGGATGCTGCGAGCGAGGTATGCCAAGCCACTGAAGGGTCTTGTACTTCTCCAATAGGCCATCTAGCCACTTCTCCAGGGTGAGGGTATCTTCATCACAATACACTTGCCTCCACATCCGCGGATCGTTCTGTTCATACCTTCCCACTGGTTCTGGATAAACAGCCCCAGTGATGATATACTTGGTCACAGTTCCATCCATGGTATCCAGAAGCCAGATGTCACCATCTCGATGAGCACTGGTGGTAAGTTGAAAGACCCATGGCGGAAACTCATAGAAATGGTCGTGTCCCAGTGTTTTCATCCACCCCGGCATGAAGGTTCCCGCGGTCGCTTTGGTCACGACGCTGTGGTAGTTGATAGGGAAAGTTTCCGGCGTAATCCAGGGCGATTGAGGCTCGCCATCGATAAATGGGAGGTGACGGATCAAGTCGATGACTCGTTCAGCTGGGCGCATCTTGGCGGCAGCAAGAGACTCAGGGGTAATCTCGGTCCAGCCCCCTGGCGGGGCTCGTCGGATGAGGGAAGGGTCGACATGAGGCAAACTCTCGTAGAAAGATAGTAAAGCGGTGACAATGTTGTCGCGCGAGTATCGGGGCTGTTCGCCCGGGAGACGAGGGTCCGGCGGGAGGTCTCGGGGGTCCGGAACGGTCTCCATCTTGGCGTCTGGCTTGGCGGTCGGGCTTGAACGGCGTCAGAATCGTGAGGGGCGGGGGCATATCACTCAAGGAACCCCGGGCCAATCATTCTCAGGGTTTAGATAAGCGACTAAGGGGTTTTGTGGGGGCGGACGGCCCGGGTCCGGGTGCTAGTCCGGCTCCGGCTCCGGCCGCAGTTGGTTGCCTGTCTGTGAGATCGCTATGTGCCCTGATCTCAAGTTGGGATTTAGCTTAATTCAGTCGGTATGACTTCGCACTGCTTGAGTTTGTAGTTACGACGCAGCCCCCCCGCAAAAAGACTACGGCAAAATTCACCCCATACGCGGGCACAAGTCTGGAAACACTGTATAGGCACTTTGACCTGTGCCCTCTACCAATTAAGGAAAACAGTACAGAAGCCCCATACGTTCCTGCCGGCAGGCAAACCCTCGCACAAAGTTCAGGAGGCGCGGAGTTAGGAGGTCTGTCGCTCTAAGCAGGTAAAAATCACAGTGAACGGCCGGAGGCCCTTCGCACTGCTTCTGTGGGTTTTTCTTCAGCTTAAGAAGCTTTCATGCCCCTTTTTGTTTCGGCGAAAGTTGTGTTCCTACTTACTCATCGGAAGACAGTTAGAAGGCTCACCCGGCAGTCTGCTTAGGATATGCTAAGGGTAATCTTATATTCCGGTGAAACGTTTGGTCACCTCACATTGTGAACACACTTGGACTGAAATTATTGTTGCTAATTTTGTTTCCAGGAACAATTGAATAATGCTTATCCACACAGGTTTGTAGCTTATTCGAATCACCGCCTCTTCCTTCGTGTGCTCGGTCCCAGTGTATCTGTCCATCACATACATACTATCACTTTCAGCCACCCAACAACTCGATCAAGTCTGAGATGGCTCCATATGCGTCTAACGACGATGAAGCAATGTCAACTCCAGTCGCTAAGAAAGACAGAGCGTCCTCTGCCAAAGAATTCTCCCCCTTTAGGACAATCTCCCCATTGTCACCAACGGTGAGACCGAGACTCTGCGGAAGTACACGAAGCTTTTGCTTCCCTGAACATCCCCATGATTCTCCTCCTACCACAAACTTGATCTTCCACAGAAGCATGTGCTCCACCTTCATACAGTATGTCAGATACGATGGCTCAATTTTCACACCCGCCGGGCTGGCAAACTTTCCGGTATGAGCATCAATCACTCGGCCGAGGACATCCAGCTTTACCCCAAGAACAGCGCCCAAGTCGAGGGGCTTCTCGTTAGACCCACACGTCAATGTCAAACCTCCATCAACCGGGTTAACATCCTGGCTCGTCTTCGCCAACAACATCTTCCATGATTTATCAGCCGAATGCGTGTCGAGTGTACCGGGACAGATAATGCTTGTTGTTGTCTCAATTTCCACCGTGACACTCCTGATCGTCATGACTTGTGGGACGTTTGCGATCACGTCGGAGGTCTTGTCCCAGTTGGGAATGGCGCTTAGTATGAAGGGAATAGTTGCAGGATTGCCAAGCTGAAGGACTGCCGGACACTTCATCTCGACCGCGTAATTGAGCGATGGCACCTTTGACGAACCGAAGAACTTCCGAGTCTTCTGCTTGAAAGATAGTTCTGCTTGTTCCATGCCTGGAACCAGCCGATGGCTGCTCACGCAACCTGGGCACTTGCGCGTGGTCAACTCAAAGTCGCTTATGGGCGGCCAAGGAGGTGGCTTCGAGTTGACTCTGATTGGCAGTGTCGCCTGGAAAGTCTTTCCCACCCTCTCTTTGGTACTCTTGACGGTGATCGTTGCTTCGATCCAGAACTCGACATAGCCGTGCCACTTCTTGCTGAAGCCGCTGTTACTGTAGTGAAAAGTGCCCGGCAGCGGTTGTCCAGGAATCTCCGCCGCGCCATCGGTCTTGAGTGGCGCTTTGATAAAGTAGTCTCTCTTCTCCTTGTCTTTCAAACCCCCGTTCACGGCCTTCTCGCTGATATCTGTTGGTATCTTCAGCGAAAATGGCCAGGACAGGCTTTCTTCGGCGCCTGTGTCGATGGCGCCTTCATGTACGATATCGGAAACATCGGACTCGTCCCAAAATGGGAAGCGACTGCGGTAGGTGCTCTTGGAATTTCCGTTATCAGAAACCAATTTTGCTTTGGCGCGACCTTGGAGGCGTGCGCGAACAGTGGCTGAGGGTGCGTCCAGAGGAGCTTTTCGTACGATGTGCCCGCGAATGACACTGCCTGGAAAGGACGGTACGCTGGGGTCGAGGAGTTCGATGGAGAGTTTGTCGTTATTTGCTCGCGATGTAGGAGGCATTGTGATATCGGTATGGACTCAATCGCATTGAATCTGATTGACTAAGGTAGCTGAAAAATTTCCATTTTACAATGAGATGTTGAGAGCATATTATGTTCAATTGAGAATGGTTGCCTAGACCTCACTGCCGGCGGCGGCATGGATCCCTGCGGCGCAGGCGATAAGCGATCAAATTAAACGCTGATCTCCCCGAGCCGGATCTTTTTTTAGGGACGGCTGATGGCGAGGATGGTCAGAAATGTAAGACAGCAGCCCCACACGAAGGGATGAGAAGGCTGGCGGGATTCTCAAAATCTCACCATCTTTATCGCGGGAAAGACGCGCAAGCTTTGATCAAGATGAACTGACTGCTGTAGACCTTCAGTAGACTTTTGACTTCCACTGATTACAAAACTTGCAGGGATGACGGTAAAACAGACCCAAAAGAGTAGAGTTAAAGACTGCTCCAAAATGACATGGTTTTACGTCGAAAATACTGAGTCAGGTCCGGTTTCTACTAACAGGAAATCACGTCCAGAGAAAGGGGGTTTCTCATAGGCGCACGGTGATTCAAACTGCACGAGCTTTCTTTAGATTATCGCGGACGACGACAATTTTTCACTTCCTAACTTCACCTGCCGAAAGTTGTCTTCTTCATTGCCTCTACAACATGTTTCGCACGTACCGAGTCCGTTTCGCAGAGGCGCAATCATACCCGCTCTTTAACATCCCCACAGCCGACGGCTTCGAGTCTCCATTGAGCAATCCACCATCACATCGCCCAACTCATAGCGACAAGGCGAAAGCGACTAAGAGCAGACGCGGCTGCAAAGAATGCAAGCTGCGACGAGTAAAGTGCGACGAAACCTTTCCGGTGTGTCTGCGCTGCCAACGACGGGGCACCCTATGCCTGTCTGTCACTCCGCCCGCAATGCCATGGCAGACCGAAATCCCCTGAACACTGCTAAGACGACCAGCAGAGCCCTGGCCTGGCGCTGTGCAACCTAACAAAAAGATCATGAACTACTGGCTGGAAAATACAAGTCGAATGATGATAGTCGCGCCAGAAGACAACCCACTGTCCTTCCCCCTGGTTGAGCATCTTCTCTACACGCCCTCTCTACTTTATGCCGTTCAAAGTATTGGTGCAGATCAGGAGGGGTTCTTCTACCAGACTGCGCTAAAAACGTGTCTTCAACAGCGAGGCCTCGCGATCCAGTCTCTACGAAAAGAACTCCACAATCCGGATCAAATCAAGCCTGCAACGGTGCTGACTGTTTTTCTCCTTGGCGTATCCGCGTCTTGGACGGAGGACATGCCCCGTTGCTACGGAAAAGAGCACATGTCAGGTGCGCGTACACTACTGGAAAGACTACTCGTGGACGAAGATAAGCGACACGGTCCAGTGGTTCAATACACACTTGGGTGGTACCTCTACTGGGATATGACTTGTGCCTTCGTTGCAGACCCTGGCGACTACAAGTTCTCTGCTCAAGCCGAAAGAAGCATTTTGCAAGCTGTTGAAAGTGGCCAAGAGTTTCACTCGATGACTGGAATCTCGTCTGTGCTATTCTATCACCTTGCGTCTGTAGGCCGCCACTGCCGAAGAGTGGTACAAACTGGTGCTGTCGATCCGGATCTCGAGGCATCTTTCGAAAGGACCCTTCTCGCCTGGAAACCCAGACACAGTGACAGAACATTAGTAGAAATGAGTCTTGCATATCGAAATCATGGCCTCATCATGCTCTATGAAATTTGCGGACGACGCGACCAACCACAGACGAATGGCGAATATCGTGGCCTTGCAACTAGGAACGATGCACGTACTCGACATGCTATCAGATCTCTTGCTTTTGACAGCCTTGAAAGACTGTTGCAAACGCCTGTTGATGCGGCATGCATTAACTTCCACTCAATGCCTCTTCTTACGGCAGGTGCTCAACTTCAGCATAACGACACCATTGTACGAGTCCAGGTTGTCGAAAGGTTCAAGGCTTTATACTCGACCAATTGAATTGCATTCAATCTATGGGCTATTGAGTTGTTGCAGGAGCTTTGGGACTTGCGCGACAACGGCAACCCAGTGTTTTGGCCAGAGTTGCTGTTGTCAAAGGACTGGACTTTGAATTTTGCTTGAGACTTAAGCACATAACTTTGTAATGTGAGAACATGGTCGGTCTTTGCGCCCAAGGAATTCAACGCCAGAATGTTCTTGATTGCTCCATCGAGGAAATTTGCTCAGCCGTCTTATTAGTTGCTGAGGATACTCCACAGATAAGCAATCCCGGTTCCACTGACAGAGCCCGGCCATTCTCACCTGAATGACGTGACGGAGTAACCCATGTCCGCCGACTCGGCCTCAGCATTCCCGAAACCCCTCCGGTCGCGAACAACCGACCTCGGCTCCGGTGCCGATAATTAGCCGAAAACTACCTTGAGTCCCAGAAATTGCGCATCGCCATCTCCCACGATGTTCTACCCCGCGTGCGCACCCATCAATCTGGCAGAGCCCCTCTGAAGAAGCAACGGTCCCCGCATACTTACCCCAGGCTCTTCTAGACCTGCTTGGGCAGGTGATCGACTCTACCCCAACGACTTGCTAGTCATTTTCAGCAGAGTCCAGCGTAGGACAGTCTTGCCAAGTCCAAAGGACCAACCACGTCTTAATCCGCCTGCGGGGTCCTTTTATCAATAGTCGGGCCTCAAGCACAATTGCGGATTCAATGACAAGTCACGGATAAGCACCGGTAGCAGACCGCGGTAAATCAAGATGGCGGTGCAGTTACCATTGCTCGGAATAAATAGCAGGTGAGTGTTTGCAAGATTTACTGTAATGTGCAGATCTACGCCAAGAAGCTTTTTGAGCAATCATTCCAACTATGGGGAACACTCGTCGCTTACTTCTTCCAAGTCTGGTTGGCTTTGGTAGTGTCTATAGCGCCAGTGCTACGGATTGCGAATCCTTGGCAACCCGTCTCAACCTCCCGGACACTGCAATCCATGAGACAACCTTCATCTCAGCCGGAACAAACATCTCTCTTCCAAACAATCACCCATCATGTGCGATTCCCTACCAAGTCTCAGATGTTGACATCTGTCGGGTGGTACTCTTGGCAACAACCGGGCCGCGCAGCAACATCTCAATGGAAGCATGGCTCCCACTTGACTGGAGTGGGCGATTCTTGGGAACCGGGAATGGAGGCATGAACGGCTGCATCAAATATGGCGACCTCAACTACGGAGCTTCGCACCAGTTCGCGACCATCGGAACCAACAACGGCCACGACGGAATTTCTGGGGCTCCGTTCTTTGAGAACCCTGGAGTGATCGAGGATTACGTCTACCGCGCCGTGCATCTCGAGGCCGAGCTCGGAAAGTCGATTGCCGAAGAGTTCTACGGAAAGAAACACACCAAATCTTACTATCTTGGTTGTTCCACTGGTGGCAGGCAAGGCTTCAAGGAGGCCCAGTCCTTCCCCGAGGATTACGATGGCATTGTCGCTGGAGCGCCGGCTTTTGACCTCATCGCGTTGATGTACTGGACTGGGCAGCTGTTCATCAAGACAGGGACGAGTGAGTCTTCCACTTTTCTCGCGCCAGCTGAGTGGGATCTCGTGTACGCGGACATTTTGAAGCAGTGTGACGGCTTGGATGGTCTTGAGGATGGCCTGTTGGAAGACCCGAACCTGTGCCAGTATCGACCCGAAGGACTCATCTGTGCTGATGACACATCGGAGGGATGCTTGACTGGCGAGCAGGCTGCCACCGTTCGTGCTATTTTCAGCCCAGTCTACGGTGCGAATGGAAGGTACATCTACCCTCGTCTCCAGCCGGGAGCAAATGCCACCGCCAGACTGCTCAACGGAGAGCCCCACCAATACCCCTTGGATTGGTGGCGATACGTCGTCTACAACAACACCGAATGGGATCTTTCTACGATGGGCCCGGAAGACTACGAAGTAGCGTCTAAGCAGGATCCGTGGGGTGTCTCCACCTGGCAAGGCGACCTGTCGGCGGCGAGAGATCAGGGGGTGAAGATTTTGCATTACCACGGCCTGCAAGACAACGCGATCAGCAGCGACAACTCTGAAAGGTACTACGACTACGTGTCTCGAACTATGGGGCTTCCTTCGTCAGATTTGGACGAATTCTATCGGTATTTCAGGATCTCGGGCATGGCTCACTGCCGCGACGGGGACGGCGCCAGCATGATTGGCGGCAACCCGGAGACTTTGGCGTCGTACGAGCCCGATTCGAATGTGCTGGCTGCGATCGTCAGATGGGTCGAAGAAGGGGTTGCACCTGATTACATTCTTGGTAGTCGGCTGACCGAAGCTGGGGATGTCGACTTACAGAGGAGGCATTGCAAGTACCCAGCTCGGAATGTGTTCAAGGGCGAGGGTGATCCTACTCAAGCCGATAGCTGGCAATGTGTATAGTTTCAAGACATGTAGAATATTTCCATATAAGCATGCTCTCTAGATGCACGATTGGCTACGTGAGCTACGAACGTGCGGTGACATTAAGCGGTTACACAGGGTAGGGAAATTTGGCTCATCGTCACATGGCTTTGTTGATTGTAATCGAAATGCACAGTACGCTTTCCCAAGTGCGCGCATTCATGAACGGTGGCAAAGGAAGGCACAGATATGGGGGCTAGGCTTGCAACGCATGAGGTGACATGGCCTCTTTTGGGAGAATAGCAGTAGACAGCCCAGTACAGTGATTAGGTCAAGGAATGAAGGAGGTGTGGGAGGCAGCTGAACTTCCGGCCTTGGCGACGGTCGGACTCTGCTTCTAGCGTTGGCTGTCTTCACAGTGATCGACCTATTTGTCTTATCCCCGTCCCGATAGAAGGGGTCGTTACCGCCGACGCTTGCCCGGGATGCGGACATCGCCCGAGTTCCCCTCGAGGTGGAGCGAGGCTAGCTGTACTGGCGCCAGTATTGGCGCGAAATCATTTCAAATCATACAACATACTTGCAGATTCAACACGAAGAACTGATTTCGGTTCTCTATTCTTGCCTGATGTGTATGCGAGGATGTGTGCCCGAGCTTTTCTGCGGTTTTGTTGTCAACGCGGATGAACTCATTTGAAAATACCATGCCACGCACCGGGTACTTTTGAAGTCCCGGAGCCTTGACGACGGAAATTAATTCAAATCCTTGACGCGCTCTGTTCAATGTACATGCCGCAGCGAGCGATGCCGTTGGATGTTTCGATGGTATATTGATGCCGGACGCCGCAAGGACAGGAGTCCAGAATCGAGGAGCTAGTTATGATTGACGAAAGTTTAGACTGTTTTAACGGCTGCAATACCCAAAATCCCGTATGCGATTACTCACGTTACTAGGCAATGCTTAGCTCTGAATATCCATTTTTACCGTACCGACCGCGGAAGTCCTATTTGACCCTTGAAGCTTGCATGGCTTGCTGCTCCTGGCTTGAAGACAACACCGATTGCTCATCAATAATTACACTCAGGTGTTCTGTCGCCATGAACCAGGTAGACATGATGCTCTCGACGCGATCCTACTATGAGTGATTTGGGAATAGCCAGCATGAAACATGATCATTCTTTCCCGCAACAACCTGGCCAAACCGACGCCTACATACTGGTATCCGGCGCGACATGGTGCGTAGCAGTAGCTGTGTAACTACACTGCTGTCAACACCATTAGAAGCAAACGCGACACAAGTTAGAGTGAATTGATGTAGAAATGCAGATCCGTCGTCGCCTTGAGATGAACGAAGCCTGCGGCGGCAAAGATCCCAATTAGTGTACGATGGCCTAAAAGAGCCTGTCTTACACATCACAATCTGCATTCTTGGCGTCATGAGGCGAGATTCCACTTCGCAGGGTCAGGGGGCATACGACGAAGGTAAAGACAGTGCTACTCTACGGTACATGAGTGTACTAGATTAAAATTTCCCCCACATGATCAGTACGGCGCATTACACATACATCCGTAGGCCAGACAGGCTTGCCGATGTATGTTAGATAACTAGTCAACATAGCTTCGTTACAACACCATAGGGCTCAATGAAGATTGATGGCTTGTTTGCTTTAGGTACTTAACTCAAAGCTGTTCCGGACGGATTGGACGAACACTGGCGGGAAGGCTCGGGACTTTCTTCAATGCATCGAACTTTACCGATCCCTGCACCATAAAGAGGTAAATTACTACTTCTCTGCATCCAAATACATGCGTCGGGTCCTTGAATGCAGTAACTAAGCAAGCAGATGGCTTTTTAGAGGCTTTTCAGGGCCGACGCAAGCTCATTCTCGCGAGCGTGCAGCGTCTCTCTGAAAGCCTGCCGGCACGGAGGTGGGGTTGGAGATAAGTCAGTCACCTTGGAACCATCCCTCCTCCCCACCGGATATGCTTGCTCCTTCCGCAAGGAGAGGCTTTCCCGAACAATAATGTCGCCATTTGTAGCCAAAGAATGACAAAGACTGGTCTTCACCGTCTTGGCTTGCACTCGTTCATATGATGGTTAGCACAACAACGTAGGTATGTATGGGTGTGTACCGCTTCAGGAATGTAGCAACGAAGAACAGGAAGCATTGAACCGCGAGGTCGTGATACGAGTTGGCAAAGTTCCATCTAAATCAGGAGACCTTGAGCATCTACGCATGAGCGCCCATATTGTCCAACAAACCACCTTCCCAATCTTTCACATGACGCCACGGTGGTTGGGTTTGATGTCAGTCAGACATCTCCTATGATCGAGCTATATAACGAGGCAGTGAAGCTGCTTGGGATGCCGTGTAGTTTCTATCATCCACGCACTACATCATCTTCTACACGAACACTCCAACTCAAATCTTTCCATCCTATCATCTACAATCACCATGCAGCTCTCTGTGCTCCTCAGCTTCGCGTCCCTCGCGGCCGCTCTCCCCGCCACAGTCGCGCCGGCTGCCGCGCGGGATGTTGCCGTCGCCGACACATCTGTGGTTACCGTGCGCTCCGCCCCTGTCGTCGAAGACGCAGCCATTCATGCAGTCTTGATGGCGAGGGAGGATTTCGAGAGGGTCGTCCCTTGGCCCACTACGGCGGTCATTGGCGGCGGGCCCAGCTTCCAGTACAAGGCAGAGCCCCTGGGCAACGACCAGTTTAAGATCACCTTCTACCACAGCGCCCCTTTCAGCACCCTCACCTTCAAGTACACCGTCTACGCTGGTGATGGTGTCGTGGCGACCGAGACCCTGTCCGCCGGAACCAGCTCCAAGGCCGTGGAAGTCAGCCGTGTTGGCGAGAGCTTCCGCATTGTCATCCAGTCGGTTTAAATCACCAACAGCTCTCGGTCAAAGGATGAGGGCAGCATACTGTGGGAGCACCTACTTGTTACCAATTCGATTACTGGTTGAATACAGTTCATTCATTAGGAATTTTTGTTTGACTAGAGAAGGAATAACACGCAATTACTTGTTGTCCGACAGCTTGACGTGCTGATCCCGACATGCTTATTGGGCATGCAAACGACGTGATTGAAATGGCCGAAGGAATAAACGCGAAAGCGACATCTCAAGGATCGTCACCTGCTGATAGTTTGACAAATACGGGCGGTGATGGTACATAATGAAAGAAGGAGAAAGGGGGCTGTACGCATGTATTGGCCAGTGGAGTGCCTCACGGAGCATCCATTCATTTGTGCCAAAATGACGTTTCCCTGCGCTAACGCCAAAGTAGCGTTGCTTGCCCCATTTGAGGTGGAAAAGAATTCATCCTGGATAGTGGCGCCAGTTTCATGTACACTTGTACTGCAGTTCTGGAGCTACCTACCACACACGGTACATCGTTCACAGGCGGCATTCCAACCACTCAACGCACATTTCTACTCAGTAGGGCTTGCGTAATCCAGGGCTTTTGACATGTTCCTCATACCTTCATTAGTCTGACTTCCGTTGTTGTGTTTCCTGTGCCTTGTTTAGATCTCCAGGGGAGGTCAGGGCAAGCCTGTTACCTGACTGGTAATCATTGTCATGGCCTTATCTGTACTACAACTTTTCCAAGTTCAAGATGATTCGCCAAAACAATATTTCTCGCACAAGCCAGGCATTCAACCAGTCAAAACGTCTGGCCTCTGTGTTCTCTTGCATCTGTTGGGGTACATGCCTTCGAACCTGGACAAGCGGCGCAAGGTCGTGCCAACTCTCTGTGTGAATAAGTAGGATTACTGCGGTTCACAAATTGATACCAGTCAAAATCTTAGCAGCAAGAACTTTGATCACGTCGTGCCTTGCCGTGGGTAATCATGGCTCAGGGGCATCAGGGTCTGTCGGTTCTTTCTTGGCGTAGCCACAAGTTCCGAGCATAACTGAAAATGGCAACTAAACCCCGAGTACGATGGAATCGACCAATCGCCGCTTTTGACTGTTCCTAAGCGCTCAGTATACATTGTAGGTAATTTTACGATCCTTGCATATAATGGTACCCCTCAAAGGCTTGTCCTGGAGCATCCCGGGCCATAGCCCTGGAAAGTTTGTATGCGTGGTACTTTCACGCTGTTTATGCATAAAAGAAATCTGTTCTTCGTGGCGAATAGAGGATAGATGGTTACATGGCTGATCGCGATCGTCACGCCTTAGCACAGTCCGCGACAGCTCATACCTGACAGTTTCAGCAAATAATATCGCACCCATGCGTCCCAGGCCTAAACCTTTCAACAGTATCGACGATATCCAAAACTGCAGTAAATACAACATACAACACTTTGACGGCTCCAAGACCATGCTTATTCACATCAGAATGATTTTTGATTTCAATGGAGTTGGAGAATCCCAGCTTCTACAGTTGCAAACGCCAAGGTCAACTGTTGGGGGATATTTGTGATCGGAAGGTAAAAGTTACCCAGATGAATACTAACTTACACCCCGGTCTTATCGACGTAGCCCAGGCTATGGTGTGATGAGGAGTAGTAGCTGCTTCAAGCGACCCCCTTCATCTACCCTAGGCTAGCTATAGAGGCTTCCTTGTGACTGCTCGCGCATGTCTCTGTCAGAGTCATCCGGCAGTCAACAAGGCGTCACTGTAGGCGGTAACTTGCTGTATGGAAATGTGAGTGAAACTTTTGAAGGAAAGAATGATGAAATGTTAAGTTCCAACTAGTAAGTCCAAGTTCTGCTTCAATGGAACGAAGGAGATTGTATGAATGACACAACCTCTTAGATCGAGGGAACGTGTCTATGGGAAGAACAAGCGAGTTTCTCATGTCCTTCTCGGTTCGGTCTTTTTTTCACTCACAGCATCCCATAGCTTTCCATAAGCTGAACCTCTTGTTGCATCTTCTTCTGAACGGCAGTTTAAAGCTGCTACAATCAGATGTTCCATTTGAACCCGTCTGTTAAGTCTAGAAACTAAACGCACCAGCAGAGGCAGAGCGGGACGTGAAGCGCGCTCAAGTCTGGCACTGCACCAGACGCAGACGACGGAGACCAGGACAACAATTAATAGTGACAGTGGCGACGATAATCATGTCAACAGAACTTTTCATCATTGTTCAAGGGTTGCTAAGTTGTACATAGTTGTATTGAGCAGAGTCCAAACGTCAATATCACGACGAGATGGCAGACGGCAAACGTTGTCATAAAACCCTGTAAAAGCATTTAGACTTGATAATATCAGAGGAAGACCTATATGGTAACCGGTTTACGACGAAACGTGAAGTACTATGAATAGTTTTGTCGTTCTAATTACCCCTTGAAGAGTTGTACAACACAAGCACATAGCGTTATTCCGATGGAGGGTTGAATGAGCTTTGCACACGACTTGGACTTCATCGACGCTGGTCAGTCTTTGCAGTCGGAGCATCAATTGAGTTGGCCTGAGTCGCCGTGAGAGCTTTTGTTGAGTAGTCCAGGAGTTGCAAGTCTGTCGTCAAATTCTTCATATTAATAGGTATGTACCTAGTAGTGTATTTCTATAAGCAGCCTACCACTCCAGCCGGTTATCACAGATCAGCTCCACATCAGCCATGTCGTTGCCCTTCCAGACCTTACTTCCTGAATTTGCAGTTGCGACAACGTCCCTCAGATCAGAAATCATAGCTCCCGGTCCGCTAGCAAAAACGGCAGTACGTCCTTGAACGTTGTCGGACAGGAAAGCAGGTACAACGTTCGTCATACTCGGGTGGCTACCACTAGCGCGGACCTCCATGGCTTTCGCAAGACCATTTGCGCGGCTGCTACTGCTCCGGCTTGAGGATGACTGAGCGCGATCGAGGACATTCTTTTCGGTAACCTCAGAGGTAACGTTTTCGCCCTCCTCACGCGTTATGTAAATGGTGATGCTGATGCCTTGGCCCTTTGCGTCGGCGAGAGCATCGAGTTCAGCGCGTACCCATTCAAGATCTTGCCGGAGACGGATGGCCCAGACGAGAGCAATTCGGCGGTTGGGGTTCGCAGGCTGGCGAACAAGCCAGTGAAGGGTAGGGAGGACGTAGGTGATGCCAGTACCGCCGGCGATGCAAAGGACGTTGGCATCGGATGTGAGGTGGAGGGTGTGGTCCTCGCCGTAGGGCCCTTGGAGAATAACAGGGGTAGTTGTCGTTCCTGCGGCTGCCATCTGCGCAACCTTGCGGGTCTCTCCCTTCTTCGCGCGGAAGATATAAGCGTGCTCTACAACGCCGTTGCGTTCAAGAGGAAGATTCAGCGGAGTGAAGGGGTGGGATTGCCAGACGCTGGATTTCGCGAAACAGATGTAGAAGTGCTGACCGGGCTTCCATACGTCGTGGGGCTGAGAGAAGTCCAGGCGGACGATGTCGCCATACTGCGCGTCAGGCATGAGCGTCATCTTGGCGGGAGCGGTCTGGAAGCCCATGGTGCCATCCGGAAGGTACTGATAGTGAATGAGAAACGAGCGCATAAGCCGTGCACCACGATCGACGAGCCAGATGGCCAGGCCGGGGACCACTAGGTATGGAATGTTAGCATGCTCTCGAGGCTACGCGTGTAAGAGAAGAAGGAAAACTTACTGAAAACTTTCAGGGGCTGCCAGTGACCCCAGCATGCGCCAATGTAGATCATCGCGAGTACATAGTGACTCTTGCGAAAGAATTCGTAGCCGGTGAGGCGAACCCCCCATGGCGTAGCCAAGATGACGAGTAGAAATAGGATGATGCTAGCAACACAGCCCCAGATCATGTACAACTGTTTGATCCATTTGTTGGCTACCTGGGGCTGTGGTTGGTAAAAGACACTCTCGATGATTGTCCAACCAATCGTATGCGCGAGGGCCTGGATTGCGATTATCCAGCCAAGCCAGCGATGCAGAAAGTTGAAGCTCTGATACGGCACGCCGGTAAGCAAGGAAAGAATGGATTCCCGTGAAGCCAGCAGGATGGAAAACGGCGTCAACGCATATGCGAGTGTACCAACTCTATCAGACCATGCGCCCAGCCAGGACCGTCTCTGGTAGAGATTGTCATAGCCTTTGACCGGTGTCATCCAGTCTTTATACCAAATGCCAATGAACGAGAATATGGCGAGGTAGATGGTCAACGTGGCGAGAATGAAAACTTGCAGTCGGGTTGTGCGACCAAAGACCAAGCGCATAGATTCTGGGAGGGTGTAGTAGCGGCAAGTGGCCTTGGCCGCAGCTCTCAGGCGACGCAGACCACCAGCGCCAGGTGATTGCACGTTGAGCTTCTTCTGCTCTTCGCCGGACGCGGATTTGGTGATGGTAGATAGAACGATGGCTTCGGCGCCGGAGGGTGGCCCCCAAACGTGCCGCCCGATAGCCCATACGAACAGAATGCCGCCGAGAGTTGCCCAGATAATACCGGTGTAGAGCATGCCGCGCTCATGACCACCGTAGACGGATTCGAAGTATTCGCACGTTCCCGCGTCGTTGGTGCAAGGAACGACGCGGCCGGCGTAACCCCAGTAGTCGACGACCCCGCCATTGCTGATGTTCTGAGACTGATAGCCTTGTCGGCGGAATACACCGGGTAGCAGCGAGTCTTCTGCTGAAATTTGTTCGTCCATCGCGGGTGTCTGGGTTGGGAGGAAGCAGCCGACAAAGGGCCTTGGAGCCTGAGTCGACGATGGAGAGGCAGTGAGTATGATATATGGTTTGTCCCCGTGTCTCCTGTCTGCGGGTTGTCCACACCATCCTAACGCGAAAATGAGTCCACCACAAGTCGATATGAGAAACATTCTCGCGCCGGACTCTTCATTATGACTAAAAGAAATCGGCGAAAGTCTACCATACCGAGGCCTGACGCCATCCAAATTGTTGCCAAGTCAATACCAACGGAGCCGGAGACCGGCTAACAGGGTCTCAGGTC